TTCTTATCACGACAACAAACGTTTAACAACCGCGACAAACAATTTGTAAGTGAAAAATAACAAATTGTAAAATTACAACAAATTTCCGTTCGATTAGGCCAGAATTTACACTTCCGTTTCAGGGAGATTATAAAAGTTGTCAGCGGCGGCAAAATCGATCCTGGTCTCAGGGCATTTTCTATAAAGGCAAGACAAAGGAGAAGATTAGACACACGGTAAATTATATCACATGATTTAACTTCCTTTTTAATATTATCGGTTGTTATGATTACTTTAGTTTTGAAATCATGTGACATAATCAAACAGTCCTTTATTATTTGTATAACTTTACTCCAGTCCACTTGGTAGGCTATGACGCTCGGCCTCACCGTTCAGAATAGCGACGTTAGGACCTACTAACATCACTGTGCAGAATACGGTGATCGAGCACCATAAAATGATCGATCCTGAAAAAGTCACGACTCAGATTCAACTAAGGAAACAACAACAACTTTCTCATTTGTGTTTTCCCGCGCTTTATTCGGCTCTAGTGATTCTGATTACGAGTAGTCTCTCCTTTTCTGCGAAGTTTGTCGTGAGAGTGAAAAAAAACATCGGTGAGAAAAATATGTTGAAGCACCTGACAGAAGAGAATGGCAAAGTACGAGCACCTCACTCCCAGAGTTCTGCGCGGCACTTTAACATTAATCTTTTTTTTTTTTTTTTTTTTTTTTTCTTTGCCCAAAAAGCAGAGACCGTGCGCATAGACTATTCATAATCATTATGATCAAAGTTCCAAGTAACAAAATTGAAAACTCCTCTGATTAACATAACTTTAACTTGGTCTACTTGACAGGTTATGACGCTCGGCCACAGAATTCAGAACTGTGACATTTGGACTTACTGCTTTTCTCAATCACTATATAAAAACAGAACAATGAAAATCACTTTTCACTTCACGAGCAAATACTGAGAAAATAGCTCTCGCGAGAAATCTTGCATTTAAGTCTTTAAGTACATATTCCACAAAAGTATTTAGTTTAGTCTACCCATTAAACCTAACAGCAGTTACAAGACTTTATCCTGGTACATGGGCGTAGGTGCGTGGTTCTTTTCACTCACGGCCATGTAATATCCTATATTTTTCCATCATAACGTACATTGGAGCGTTTTCTCTTCCCCTTACTGGAATATCAGTTTGTAGCAGATTTCCCTTCGCAGGTCATCAAGTTTTCCTGACTATCCTCAGGCCAGTGCCATTCGTCCGACAATAAATCTTTCATATCTCTTTAAAGGATTCCCTTACTAGTGGAAAATTGCGTCAGTACCTTTTTGGACTCTTAGATCTGATCTGGAGTCGAGCATATGCACTAAGACTCCTTCAGACGTCACGTACTAATCAATACCTTGCAATGCCATTCATCTGACGATAAATATTTCATACCTCTCTAAAGGATCCCTTTGGATGCAAAATTGCACAGAGAGCAAAAATAGGAATAGCCAGAAAAGACGATAAAGCCAGTAGCCATGCTACAGCTTGTGCCCAGTCGGGGTACATGTATCCATTGTACGTGATTCTCTTCCACTGGGTGATGCTCCCCAGAAATATCAACTGTTTTATGTAATGCGACATATGATTAGTAACATGAAATAGACAAATGCTTCTGTATCTACCAGAGACCATTATTTTCTTTCTCACCTGTGGCTCTAGGAGCTTTTCGACGTCTGGTTTTAGGTAAAAGATGATCCCATCAAGTGCACCAGGTAGAGAGACACCACGCACAAGTAAGATACATAACACAATATACGGGAAGATGGCCGTGAAGTAGGCCACCTGTGAACAGGAAGGAACATGATATTAACCAAAAAACGACGTGATTGACCAAAGTATTATTGTTAGAAACCAATTCAGGCTCATTAAATGATATCAGCTTTGCTTCTGTTTTCACCTACAGCTTTAAGGGGTTACTAAACTTAGGCCTCTTGTAAAGTAGGTTTCCATCGACTGAGCCCAGCGAGTTGATTTCCCTTATCATGTTCTTTACATCTTGCTCGTCCGAGATAGTAAGCTCATCCGAGAATAGCAAGATGTATATATACAACAAGATCAGGGAACAAGCCTAAATTCCAATTATGGGAACATTCCCTTATCTTTTACTGTTGTCTATTAGCGATACTACAGATCTAGACTCAATAAATTATATCCAACACAATTCTTTTATAATGGAACTTACTTGCCTGATGATTTTTAAAACAACATACAGAGAATACTAGTTTCAATAACGAGTAAAATTCAAATTGCATTTTTTGGACTGTGCATTTTTTTTGTTTACCTTTCCAGAGCTCTTGATGCCTTTATGGATGCAAAAGAAAACAGTGACCCATGCGATAAACAAAGTTGTGGCCAGCGGTAAACGAATTTCACCCAGCTCGTCGATGCCATTTAACACGTCCAAGATACGACGCCTTAAAAGACCATAGATCACATAAACATATAAAAACTTTTATTCGCAGTAACTTTTTGTTAATGAAGAAAATTTTCAGTCCGATCCAAGCAAAGATTTTTTTCTTTAAGCAGTGATATCGCCATTATTCGATTAATCTTTCTCTTCCTCGTGATTGGCCAAGAGTGAAACACGTGGCCTGAAAATAGCAGTCTAATAGTCAGCTTATGGGTAACACTGATTAACTAATTTTGGTGGTTGACGATTTTCTGCTCATGAGTAGTTGTGTCCACGATCTAGAGTGTTTAAAGATTTACTTCAACCATTGACTTTGAATTGACTGCCTGTGACTCTAACTTGGCTGATTTGTTGCTGTTCAAACAAATTGACACATTATTCTTAAACCTTTCACCTGAATTAGGAAGGGGTAGCTTGGGGAATGAAGTGTGGGCATAATCATTTATGACATATTTTTTCTGTGAGCCTTTGTTGGTGAGATATTACAGACCCCTTTGGCACCATTCCAAATTTGGTTTTTACAGAAGGAAGATGTGAGCTTCGTNAACAACATACAGAGAATACTAGTTTCAATAACGAGTAAAATTCAGATTGCATTTTTGGACTGTGCATTTTTTTTGTTTACCTTTCCAGAGCTCTTGATGCCTTTATGGATGCAAAAGAAAACAGTGACCCATGCGATAAACAAAGTTGTGGCCAGCGGTAAACGAATTTCCCCCGGCTCGTCGATGCCATTTGACACGTCCAAGATACGACGCCTTAAAAGACCATAGATCATATAAACATATAATTACTTTTACTCGCAGTAACTTTTTGTTAATAAAGAAAATTTTCTGTCCGATCCAAGCAAAGATTTTTTTCTTTAAGCAGTGATATCGCCATTATTCGATTAATCTTTCTCTTCCTCGTGATTGGCCATGAAAATATCTTTGATTGGCCATGAAAATATCTTTGATTGGCCGTGAGTGGCCTGAAAATATCTGTCTAATAGTCAGCTTATGCGTAACACTGATTAACTAATTTTGGTGGTTGACGATTTTCTGCTCATGAATAGTTGTGTCCACGTTCTAGAGTGTTCAAAGATTTACTTCAACCATTGACTTTGAATTGACTGCTAGTGAAAAGTCGCAAAATTTTTTCCAGATACTATTCTAATATTGTCAAATTTAAACAGTTGTAGTTTCCTGGAGGCAAACTAAATCGGGGTTCATTTGAGACTTCTAACACAACCTATTAGTAACGTATTTGTGCACCATCCTCGCAGTAAAGAGCACTATTTAAGCAGTAATGAAAATCAGACCTGAAAAAATTCAGGCCTGTACGGGATTCGAACCACTGACCTCTGCGATACTAGTGAGCGCTCTACCAATTGAACTAACAAGCCAACTGGGAGCAAGTCATCAAATTAGTCCGACATAAACCCGTAAGATGATAAATCAGTCAAACACAACGAATATTTGAAATTCATATATCTGAATTATTGAATCTCTTTTAGTGTTGCAGTGCTCAGCATTGACAGCTGTGATGCCTCACAAAAACAACCGAGATATGTTTGAATCAGTTTTATTAGCTAATTGCTGAAAAGTAAAACTTACTCCCAGAATTCCTGGCTGGGCGAGAATGCATTCATTGAGCAATTGACAGCCGTGCAGTTAGCAGTGGAATTTCTCAAGTCCTCACTTAAAAAAAAGAAAAAACAAATTGAAATTGTCACAACTGGGGTCATCAGTTGTTAACTACGATGGTATGTTTTTAGAGGAGAGATTGTATTAAGTAAGTAGAGATTGCTGTCATTTTCTTAACAAACAAAATAAGAGAAACGAGGAATCATAAATTACTAAGTATAAGATACTGTAAAACATTGGTTCTTTGCATCGAAGTAAACACTGCACAAAGTTTGCACGATTTGAAATTTGCAATTCAGCGGATAATAATTTAAAGTAGTTTTAGATGCCGATATATTCACCTGCAAAATGGAGTGTTCCACGAGTTGCCACAAGACTTCCACGGGACAACCGACGCAAAGGAGTGGTAAAGATACAGAAGACTCCAGGATATAACAACGTTGTAGTAGATAGAGATCAGGAAGGAAATAATCACCATGGCAACTCCAATCCCTAAAAGTTGAAAGATGACGGAACATTCGTGTTGTTGCAACTTGTTTATAGTGTAAAGCATATCTTTCCTCCTAAATATTGAAGCAATATGTTACTTTATCGATTGTGCAAAGTCATTGATTTAGAGGATTCAAGAGCCGAGGACTTTTTGGAGTCTATCATCTAGAGGTTTCGATGTTGAAGAATTTCTGCGCATCGCAATCTTCGGATTTGACGACTTCTGCAGCTTGTTAACATCATGTTTTGAAAAAGCAA